TTCAATGTGACCAAACGAGATGAAGGCGAATATCTTTGTAGAGCCAACAATTTCGTAGGCAGAGCCGAAAAATCATTTTGGCTCCACATTCACAAACCAGAACCAGGTAATTCCTCAACTCTGTCCCAGAGGCTTTGCAGCTGCACGAACGAGCCGAAACAGCTTAAAACTGCTAGGCGTTACCCTTAATATTCATCTTGGGTTCCTTTCTTTCTTTCTTTCTTTTCCCCCCTTCCTTCTCTCCTCTGCCCTGACGCTGTACGTCTTCGAGATGATGACTTTGACTTTTCCTCCCCTGACTTTTAGAATAACGAAATGCTTTTATGAATCATTCGCTCAGAAAAATTCCCACATTAAATGACTGTCTTTGAAACTCCTCTGCCTCCCCCGTTGTGTCATTAACTGGCTCTTTGTGCGATCAAGTTGTCCGTCTCCTCTTTTCACGATTCATCAAGCTCACTTTGGAAGCGCCGTTGTCAGGCGTTTCCCGCTGAAATCCTTCGCCACGGACGCCACACGTTTCGAAGCCCTTCGCGGTTTTCAGTGCCTTTCCAAAAAAATACACACCAAAAAAACGGGTCAGGAAATGTACTGAAGCCTTCCTAACAGATTTAAGAGAAGTTAAGGGTTTTTTTGGATGGGGGAAAAAAACAAACAAACCCCAAACCAATCTCTGGATGAATTCTGCAAATTAAAGCATTAAAAGCTTTTCTCTTTAAAGCCACATTTAACTCTGCCCACTTGTCTTGATCCTTCCTGCTTGTCTCTGGCGCCTTCTCTTCCCCCTTCTTCTCTCCGTCCCCCTCCTGGCCCGCCTAACCCGGAGACAGTCACGTTGTGAAGGGAATTTTTCGTTCGGACGCTTTGGCCTGCATGCACACTTAGTGGGACAGAGTCAGAGGCTGGTGAAGGGAGCTGATTGCTTTGGAAACAACCCCCCCTTTGTCCCCCCACCCCCGGTTGTGCAAGGGAACCAGGAACAGGTCACAGAGGCTCTTCCAGTCGCCATCTGCTTGTAAAATTTGTCTGGGTGATCTTTTCTGGGAATTTTGCTTATTCTGTTCTCCTTCTTCTTCCTTTCCTCTCTCTGTTTTTGTTTTTTTGTTCTTTCCTCCGTAGACAGCAGGTGTTAACAAAACGGATAAAGAGCTAGAAATTCTGTCCTTGCAGAATGTTACTTTTGAAGACGCCGGGGAATATACTTGCCTGGCGGGGAATTCTATTGGTTATTCACACCATTCTGCTTGGCTGACGGTATTACCAGGTATTTCTGCTTGGTCTCCTTTCCCCTTTTGCCTCTGAAGGGCACGGAGAGCCCTTATGTGCCAAGGTGCAGCTCTTGAACAGGTGGTGCATCTTGTGTTTCGGGCCCGGAGGGTTCATTTTCAGGGGCCAAAATACACATTTCATTTCATGCAACTCATGACAAGCGGAGATAAAAACAACACGTTTCTACTCACTCTAAATGATGAGCCTTTCTCCAGCTTGGGAGCCCTGGTGGTGCCCTTTTCAGAACTCGTAACACGGTTGTGGATGCAGCACTGGTTTTTAGACAGCTACAAGTGAGTGAGAAGAAAGAGGCTGCCACAGATTCGATTGAAGAGTCGCAAAGCCCGTTGCGACTTTTTGGCCTCTCCCGGGGGTGCCTTCGAGAAGTCCAAAAGTCTTTGTTTCACACAAGACTTACAAGCTTGGGGCATTTCTGAATGCTAAAATGTTCAATATACGGAGTGGTTTCCTCTAACTGGAGTCCAACTTTCACTGGCTGAATGGTGCCCACATTTAATTTGGAAAAAAAAAAAGCCTTGTTCTGGGAATCTCCTGTGAGTCATTTGTGGCTCTCAGCTTCTGTAGTCAATTTCTCACAAGGTGGACTCGAAGAAGGGCCTGTTGCCTCACCCCCCCCACACCCCACCCCTTCTTCTGCCTTGGGGTGTCTCTTGGCAGGGAGGGACTTTTTATGATTTGCGCCAAATGAATCACGCGATCCCAAATTAAAATCATGCCATTCCCTGCCCCAACTCATCTGAGAAACGCTAAGCTGCTTCTCACCCAGTGCTGCAACACAAACTGAAATTTTTGCACCTCAGCATTATTCTTTTAGTATACATTTATGGGGCATTACTGCGCGGGGTTAATGGCGCTCGAACGTCAACCCGTGCGCTGCCTTCAGTATTTGAACGGCTGCTCCTAAATAAAGGATCCAGTGGAGAAAGCTGATGGATTCTCAGAAGAGAGAGCTTCCCATCTCATTTGTTGAAAACCTTCCCACACTAAAGCCGATCCTCAAATTTAAGAAATTTGGAAATCGCGGATATTTAGTGCTGTTGTCATGAGTTGTTTTTTTTTGTTGTTGTTGTTTGGCAGCGGTGTCTTTCAGATTGGGTGTGAGCTGTAGTGAAATATGTCAGAATATGGTTCGGCTGCCATTTTTTTCTGGCTCCTAATGTGTGTTTCTCCTTCTCCAGCAGAAAAACGGGTTGCCAGACAGGATTCCAGCTCGTTTTACGCAGGGATTCTCAGCTACGGGATCGCCTTCGCTCTTTCCATCCTGGTGGCCGTGATGGTGTTGATTTATAAAATCAAAAGGCCGGCCAAAAAAGCTATAAACGCCACCGCCGTTCAGAAAGTCTCCAAGTTCCCCCTCAAGAGACAGGTAACAGAAAGTAGATACAAGATCACTGTTCCTCTATATCCCTATCCCAGGGGTAGGCCACCTTGGCTCTTTTATGACTCGTGGACTTCAACTCCCAGAATTCCTGAGCCAGCATAGCTGGCTCAGGAATTCTGGGAGTTGAAGTCCACGAGTCATAAAAGAGCCAAGGTGGCCTACCCCTGCCCTATCCCTTCCCTTCGTCCTCCTGGTTTTTTTAGCCCTAGAGAAGGATTAACCAGGTTACCAAGTCCCTTTATGGAGAATATGGATTTATTCTAATTTTGCTGTTTCTGGGAACTCAACCTTTGTTTAAAGGATGGCCTTAAAGTCTTACAATCTCCTTAACTGTTTCTTGGATTCTGTGTGGTGTTCCATTAACGTGGGATGTAAAATAGGTTTAGATTAGAAGAACATTTTCCAAACTGCTTCTCTTTACAGTAAGAAAAGGCACGGGTGAGCTTGTTTTCACTGGTGCAGCTCATAAATTCATACGAAGGCGTGCGTACTGGGAAGGGACCACATCCGTGCTATTTTTTTTTTTTAAATACACGTAGTGCTTCCTGGGTTCAGGGGAAGAAGTGGAAAATGTTTAAAATTATAAGGGCAGGCCTTCTGGATCGAGCCAAATATTACTTTTTTTTTCATAGTAGACAGCCAGATGGTCCTGGGACTCTGAATAATTTTGAGTCTTCAGAATCAGCAGCCACTGATCTACCTGCCCTCCTTGAATTTCATCTAACTCAGGGGGCATCTTCGTATCTTGTGATCGGTTCCACAAGTTAATAAAAGTATTGCAGGATCCAATCTGAATCAGTCCCGGGGACCAGCGCTTTAGTCTCCCCCATCCTCAGAGAAAAGTTCTCTTTCTTTTCCCTGATAACTTCTCCCCGAGGATGGGGGCTCCGGCACGGTCCGGAAGCTCGGAAGACAAAAACCTCCGGTCCCAGAGACTGACCCAGACTGGATCCTGCAACGTTATCCTGGGACACGTCGATTCGCCTTCGTTCGTAAATAAGTATTGTCTGAAAAAGTCCTTTCTTTGACCTCCTCTAATTTTGCTTTCAGTCAGTTTTCATTGAATGATCCTAATGTTGAGAGAGAGAGAGAAAGAGAGAAAGGGAAAGAGAGAGAGAGAGAAAGTGAAGAAAAAGAGAAAGAGAGAAAGTGAAGAAAAAAAGAAAGAGAAAAGTGGAGAAAGAGAGAAAGAGAGAGAAAGAAAGAAAGTGAAAAAAGAGAAAGTGAAGAGAGAAAGAAAGTGAAGAAGAGAAAGAAAGAAAGTGAAGAGAGAGAAAGAGACAGAGAAAGAAAAAAGAGAAAGTGAAAAAAGAAAGAGAAAGTGAAGAGAGAAAGAGAGAAAGTGAAGAAGAAAGAGAGAGAAAGAGAAAGAGAGAAAGTGAAGAAAAAGAGAAAGTGAAGAAAGAGAGAAGAAAGAGAAAGAGAAAAGTGAAGAGAAAGAGTGAAAGTGAAGAAAGAGAGAAAAAGAGAAAGTGAAGAAAGAGAGAGAGAAGAAAGAGAAAGAGAAATGTGAAGAAAAAGAGAAAAAGTGAAAAAAGAAAGAGACAAAGTGAAGAGAGAGACAGAGAAAGAGAGAAAGTGAAGAAAGAGACAGAAAGAGAAAGTGAAGAGAGAGAGACACAGAGAAAGAGAAAGAGAAAGTGAAGAAGAGAGAGAAGAAAGAGAGAGAAAGAGAGAGAGAATATTTCCAGGTCAGGCCTGCCCCCCTCAGCCCCTGTTCCTCCCTGCTAATCAGCCCCAGGCAGAAGCCAACATGGTCCGAGGCTGCCTCAAGATCGCAGGAAGCGTTTCGAGTGCTGCTTTATCCTGCAACCAGGTTATTCCAAAAATCCCCACTTCCTTCCCGGGAGCAGCCCAGCCCTTCTGCCAGACCGTGGAGGCGCTCCCCTCGCTTCTCCTAAAACCCAAAGGAGCAGAGCTGTCAACGCTCAGGAATCAGAAGTTGGGCCACTTAAGCCCAAAAGCATTCTTTAAACACAAATGTTGACTGGATTTCTTAACCAGAAGGCCAGCGTGCAAAATACAGGGAGTCCCCGACTTACAACAGTTCCTTTAGTGACCGTCCAAAGTTGCAACGGCACTGAAAAAAGGGACTAAGGACTGTTTTTTACAGTCTATGACCGTTGCGGCATTCCCAGGGGTCACGTGATCAAAATTCAGACGTTTGGCCACTGGTTCGTGTTCGTGCAACGCCCCAGGTGTGTGTGTGTATCACGTGATCCCCTTTTGTGACCTTCTGACAAGCAAAGTCCATGCAGGAAGCCAGATTCACTTAACAACCAGTTTACTGACTTAACAACTGCAGTGATTTGCTTAACAACGGAGAGTTTGGGCTCAGCTGTGCTCATGAGTCTAATAATCACGCTGAGCAGCCTCCCAGCGGTTCCCGGTGGCCCCCCTGCCCCTCGGCTCTGGGGTGAGAGGGGCCTGTTGCTGACCACCCTTCGTTTGCTCTACCCAAGCAGGTGTCCTTGGAGTCCAACTCCTCCGTGAACTCCAGCACTCCCCTGGTGAGGATCACCCGCCTCTCCTCCAGCGAGGGCGCCGTGCTGGCCAACGTCTCCGAGCTGGAGCTGCCCGCAGATCCCAAGTGGGAATTGGCAAGATCGCGGTGAGGAAACCATCATCCGGGCGCGGCTTAGGAGACGGCCGCTTCCTTGTTCTCCGTGCTCATCTTCTGGCTGGTTTGCTTTTCAGCTTGACTCTCGGGAAGCCTCTGGGCGAAGGCTGCTTCGGTCAGGTGGTGATGGCCGAAGCCCTGGGGGTCGACAAGGAGAAGCCGAACAGGCCCATCACGGTAGCCGTCAAGATGCTGAAAGGTACGGAAGACGGCTGATGGCGGGAGGGGGCTGTTTTCATGAGCCTCGCCTCTTTGCACTCCTGATTTCTAATCCTGGTTTGGCTCACTTCTCAAGCTTCCTCTCCGTGGACTGACTTTTGCTCTAGGGTCCCTCAGGCCTTTGGGGTCTCTTCCCTGTCCTTTCTGCAGGGGGTCCTAGACTTAACAGCCATTCGTTTAGTGACCATTCAGAGCTACAGCAGTAACCAAAAAAGGGACTTAGGACTATTTTTCATGTCCCAAAGGTGCTTTTTCTAGGAGGCAACTGGACTTTCTTGGTTTTTTTCTTTGAAGACATTTCGCTTCTCATCCAAGAAGCTTCTTCAGCTCTGACCGGATGGTGGGGAATGGAAGGATTTATACTCCTTGCAGACAGCTAGTCATTTGTGTCCTTTTAGAGGGTCGTTGAGGCCACTTGGAGGTTTACTTGTGTCTTCAGGGTCATCTGAGTTGTGGAAATGGGTGTGTATCCTTCTTGGAAGTGCTGTAAGGACTGTGTTGTAGACTGGAGATAAATGAGGTTGTATCCCCCCTCTCCTCTGTTGAGAGAGGGATGTTCAGTTTTGACATAGATGACCTCTTTGGCCCATCTTTCAAATCAGATAAACCTCCAGGTGGCCTCAACGACTCACTAAAGGAAAGCAAATGACCAGCTGTCTGCAAGGAGTATAAATCATTCCACTCCCCACCATTTGGTCAGAACCTGAAGAAGCTTCTGGGATGAGAAGCAAAACGTCTTCAAAGAAAAACAAGAAAGTCCAGTTGCCTCTTGAAAAAAGCACCTTTGGGACAACCAGGACCTGGATGACCTATGGAGAACCTCCATAGACATCAACCAAGAAAAGACATCATGTGGACATCAAAGACATCAAATGAGGCACAACTTAGATAACTGTCTTGCTTAGCAACAGAAATTGTGGGCTCAATTGTGGTTGTAAGTCAAGGACTACCTGGGTCAAGACAACGGACGTTGTGCTCCAGTTCACCTCTCAGTTCTTCAACTGCTGTCCTTCACGGGATAAGGGAGGGAGTGGGGCGTGGAGGGTTGGCTTAGAAATGCCATTCCAGAAAAGGAGGATCCCCCCCCCAGTCCCACTCCCCTCTCTGAAGCAGAAGGGGCCTCCCTCCTGGAGAACATCTGGGTGGTTCCCTTTATTTGGCCTGGACATGAACCCAAACCAGCAAAATATCAGTTGTGTATCTTTGTTATAACATCCGTTGTGATCCACAATTGGAGGAAAGGTGAGGGGAAGAGTCACTGATCCCTAAAACCAGAAATAGGGTGAAATCGCCACCGACTATGGGATGCTGTGGACCTGCAAGCTGAAACGTCCGGGCACAGTTTGACACATGTGGGGCCTATAGCAGAGTGTTGTGGCTCCGTCTTGTGAGCCCCTCTTATCGGAGGAAGAAGGCTCCGAACATGAAGGAGAGGAGATGGCCAGGCCTCCCTCTCCAGGACCCTCCTCTCTGGCAATGCCTCAGGTGTCTTCCAACGGAGAAGAGATTGACCAGGAGCCAGGTGGTTCTGAGATTGGCCAGGAGCCAGGTGTTTCGGATAGTGATGAAGATACGTTGTGGCTGGATCCACGCCAGCGTAGGTGCGACAAGCGTGCGCAGCAGAAAAGGAGACATGCCAGAGATTAAGCTGAGTCACTGGACCACACCCCACAGGCTATAAAAGGGAGGTGGTGGCCATTTGGACTCTGTGACGGACAAAGCTGAATCTCTGGCAAAGTAGTTTGCTGTGGATTGAATTTCAAACTGTGTGTATTGTTTTTTGTTTCTGTGTTCTCTGAGTAAAAGTTCTTGGCAGGCAGATACGGAGCTGCTGCCAAGTTTCTTATCTGTGGCGTGGAGTGTGGAGAAGTTATTTAACCCTCGGCTCGCTGTTTGGGGGGGTGTGTCAGACGGGGACAGAACACAGAGATGCTTTCCTCTCACTGCTGCCTTTCTCCTCCCTTCACAGACGACGCCACAGACAAGGATCTCTCTGACTTAGTCTCAGAAATGGAAATGATGAAGATGATGGGGAAGCACAAAAACATCATCAACCTCCTGGGCGCCTGCACGCAGGACGGTACGTGCCCACAACGGGCGGCTGTGGGGCTTTGGGCATATTGTGCCCATGCTGTCCTGCCTCTTTCTTAAGCTTTTTCGGTTACCCTGGAAGAGGAAAACAGATTTAGGAAGAAAAACGATATTAATTAAACATGATGAACTGGGTATGTCTGGTCTAATGAAGAGAAGGCCTAGGGGGGACATGATAGCAGTCTTTTAATATTTGAGGGGCTGCCACAAAGAAGTGTGAAGGGGGTCAATTTATTGTCCAACGAGAAGCAACAGATAGAAACTGATCAAGGAGAGAAGCAACCTGGAAACAAGAAGGAATTTCCTAACAGTGAGAACAAATAATCAGTGGAACAACTTTGCCTTCAGACATTGTGGGTGCTCCATCACTGGAGGTTTATAAGAAGAGACTGGACAGCCATTTGACCAGGATGGTATGGAGTCTCCTGCTTGAGCAGAGGGTTGGACTAGAAGATCTCCAAGGTCCCTTCCAACCCTGTTATTCTATGTTCTATATGTATGCTCTACTCTTAGAATAGAATAGAGCTGGAAGGGACCTTGGAGGTCTTCTAGTCCAGCCCCCTGCTCAAGCAGGAGAACCTATACCATCTCAGACAAGTGACTGTCCGGTCTCTTCTTAAAAACCTCCAGTGAAGGAGTGCCTGCGATTTCTGGTGGCAAGCTGTTCCACTGGTTAATTGTCCTCACTGTCAGGAAGTTTCTCCTTAATTCCAAGTTGTTTCTCCCTTTGGTCAGTTTCCATCCATTGCTTCTTGTCCTGCCTTCAGGGGCTTTGGAGAATAGCTTGACTCCCTCTTCTTTGGGGCAGCCCCTCAAATACTGGAATACTGCTATCATGTCGCCCCTATTTCTTCTTTTCTTTATTCTGGCCAAACCCAAGCCCCGCAGCCGTTCTTCTTTTGTAATTAATTACTGGCGTGCAAAAGTCACGTCTCAATTGCCCTGAAAGACCAATATGAAATATAATTTAAGTATTTAAATTATAATTTAAATACTTCACTTAATCAGTGCTAGTAATCCATTTCTCTGCAGAGGGTTGTGTCTGCACACATTTCTCTGACTTACCAGCATTTGCGGAGCAGCTAACGTTTCACCTAGAAGGAATATTGAAGTGAAGTGGGTTCCATGCCATTGTTGCACTGAATTGATGCTTTAAAAAGAAAGATTATTAAAAAGGAAAATATTACTCTTATTGTGATGCACAGAACCATTTCTAGCAGTTCTAGGCTGCTTATTCTAGAACCATCTCAAGTGTTGCAACTGCAACTCCTGAATCTAACTGCAGATGCCCCAAAATCAGAATCCTTGGGCTGGAAGGGACCTTGGAGATCTTCTAGTCCAACCCCCTGCCCAAGGCAGGAGACCTTATTGCATCCTGGACAAATGGTTGTTCAATCTCTTCTTAAAAGCCTCCAGTGATGGAGCACCCACAACTTCTGTAGGGAAGCCGTTCCACTGGTTAACTGATTCTCACAGTCACGAAATTTCTCCTAAATTCCACACTGGATCTCTCTCTAACGAGCCTCCACCCATTGTTTCTTGTCCTGCCCTCAGGTGCTTCGGACAATAAGCCAACCCCTTCTTCTCTGTGAAGAGAAGCAATTTCATTTTGGTCTTCTGCAATGCCTGTTTTTATTCTAATCCCTGTGAAATGATGTCACCAGAAAAGGCTATCCATTTTCTGATGGCATCTCATGGTAATCTCCATGTGACCCTACCCAAAAGCCAAGCCCCACCACCTTCTCCCTCAGTGTCCTTGCTTTCTGCCTTCTCCCGTTGAGGTCCTACTCAAAGTAAAGGAGGTGGATTCTGCCTCTTCAAAATCACTCTAACCTGGAGGAAACCTCACAGGTAGAACGGTATGCGTGGAAATTCCCACATGAGCTCAGATTTTCCACTTTGGAAAATTGGAACCCAGCAGAAAGCTTCGTGGGTGTTCAGGAAGGCATCTCAAGACATCTCAAATGAGTTGTCCTCAGGGCAACCCTGAAGAAGGCCTTGGATTAGTCAGTAAATCCCCTTTTTCTTAAAAATTCCTGGCATGGCCTGGGCATCTGGGCTCCTTTCTGATGAGTGGCTGGAAGACAGCTGATTCTTCCAATTTGAGCGTTGATGTCTGTAGCTTGAAGACATCCCCGTAACCATGTCCATCTTCACCCACCCCTTGTCACCTTGCTCAATTGTCATGGTACAGCTCCTCTTTCCAACGTTGAAGTTAACACAATCCATCGCGGAACTGAAGTTCCTCTCTTGTAGAATCTGAATGAAAGGACACACCAGTCCTAAAATGAGTGGCAAGCTGCCAGGAAAGCTGGAGAATATGTCAAACAGTAATGGATGGTTTTCTCCAGGTCCTCTCTACGTTCTTGTGGAATATGCCTCCAAGGGGAATTTAAGGGAATACCTGAGAGCTCGCCGGCTACCTGGCATGGATTATTCCTTTGATACCTGCAAGCTTCCTGAGGAACAGCTGACCTTCAAGGACTTGGTCTCCTGTGCCTACCAGGTGGCCCGTGGAATGGAGTATCTGGCATCTCAAAAAGTGAGTAGCCAAGCATTTGCCAAAAAGCAGACTTCCAGAGGTTAGAAAAGGTGGCTTATAATGGGAATGTGGAACAAAACCACTACGTTATATTAAGGAGACAAGAATAACATTGGGCTAGACAGCTAAGAAAGGAGATAAATAGTCTAGAAGAAGTAGAAGAAGAAGTTGAAATGGTATTTATTTAGAAGTGAATCAGCATACAAAGTTCTGTCTTGGAGATGGAATAGCTAAACGTTGATTTGAAGGCGATATATTTTATTCCTTTGGGTGCACAAAATGTGGGATGCCTAGACCAAAAGTGTACTGCATCTTGAAGAGAGCATGAAAGATTAACTGAAATTAAATGAATTAATTTCAATGTTAGGTGCCTCAAACAAAAATTGAGCAGCCTATTGAAGCTGAAACTGGTGAAGCTGCTGCATTGTAAAATATTGTGAAACTTAGATCAACGGGAAACACGTTGCTTCGTTTGCTGTTTAGTGGGGAAAATTGCCTTTTAAGAAAAAAAAATATAGATCCATTACCCTTCTCCTATTTCTCAAAATGATTCTTTTGGCAATGCCCCAATCTGAGCATAACCATAATTCCTCAAAGACGGTCAAATTCCAGAGTTTTGGAAATATAATTCAACGTAAAAACATCTTTAACATTGAGGGATTTCCCTATAAATCTTCTTGTGTAATAAGATCTGCAAAATCCAGTAATTCAGAGATCAAACCCTAGGGAACAATGAAGGTTCAATTTTTTTTTGTACGTGTCGCCAACAGAGGAAATTTAACGTTGCTCTTTTTAGTAACCTCTACAATCAGTCCTCAACTTGTCATCACAATTGGGCCCAAAATTTATGTGGCTAAGGGAGACAGTTAAGTTATGAATTTTGCCCCATTTTATGACTTTTTTTGCCACAGTTGCTAAGTGAGTCATTCAGTTGTTAAGTTAGCAACACATAAGTGAATCTGGCTTAATAATAATAATAAAGTTGGAAGGGACCTTGGAGCCCATCTAGTCCAACCCCCTGCTCAGGCAGGAAACCCTATACCATTTCAGACAAATGGCTGTCCAGTCTCTTCTTAAAAACTTCCAGTGTTGGAACATTCACAACGTCTGGAGGCAGGTGGTTCCACCGGCTAATTGTTCTCACTGTCGGGAAGTTTCTCCTTAGTTCTAGGTGGAGTTCTAGTTCTAGGCTTCCCCCATTGACTTTGCCTATCTGCAACCATCATAAGGACAGGCCAGTTGCCAAGCGGCTGAATTTTGATCACGTGATCAGAGGGAGGCTTCAAGGGTCATGTGAGAAACTATCACAAGTCACTTTTTTCAGTGCCGTTGTAACTTTGAACGGTCACTAAATAAACTGTTGTAAGTCAAGGACTCCTGGTAGTCTCAAGCAAGACATAAAGAGCCACCCCTACATTCAAAGTCTCCATGTCACTGCAACTAATTTATACTCTAAAGCACAGGGAATTAAACAGAACCCTTCAGATTTGTAATGAAGAATACAGATGTTTAATTGATCCAAAATGTCCACTATACTTTTTTCTCAACATTTCCCCTATAAACCGTTTCTCTGCAGTGTATTCACCGGGACCTGGCAGCCAGAAATGTTCTGATCACGGAAGACAACGTGATGAAGATAGCTGACTTTGGTCTGGCCAGGGATGTTCACAACATCGATTATTACAAAAAAACAACTAACGTGAGTGGAAAGCTTCTGAAAAACGGGGCGGTTCTGGTCAGGGGCCATCCAGATGTGCCCAGAATTCCTAGGCAGCGTGAGCAACGCCCTATCAAGGGAGGGCAAATTGGATAGACTCTAAAATAGTTTCATTTATTTAACCGCTTAAATAAATAAATTATCCATTAATCAAAAGCCTCCGAAGTGATATGAACGAGAGCTGCTTATTCTTAGGGGAAAATCTTCCTTGTCATCGTGGAATCCTCGGCTTGTCTCCTTTTAGCGTAGATTTGTTAAAAGTTTGGGTAAACTAGGTAGATTACCAGATTACCGAATGTTGGTGGGTTTTCCACCTAGACAGGAGATCTCATGATGTGTTAGCACTTCCAGCTGGATCTGGACCAGCAGCCCAGAGAATATTTCTAGTCAATCCATCTTCTTACAAGAGGAACGTTTTTATATACCCATGATTGCAATGCTTTGTCTGAATGCAGTCAGCTGATTTCCACCTTATCTGTGGAATAAAGCCACGAGGGTGTGCATATGCTGGAGACAAGTGAAAGATTTGCAGTTTGGTTGGTCAGAGGACAAAAGATGGACAAAATAATAATAATAATAATAATAATAATAATAATAATAATAATAATAATAATAATAACAACAACAACAACAACAACAACAACAACAACCACCACCACCACCACCACCACCACCAAAACAACTGGAGCACCACTTGAACACCATCATCGGCATTGACATATTCACCATTAGTCAATTGCAAAAGGCGGCCTTACTAGGAACTGCTTCCATCCTGCGACGAGATCTGTGATACCATCAAACATCCACATCTGCCTATCCCAGGTCCTTGGGAAGGACTCAGTAGGTAGACAAAATGCCAAATCCAGTCTGAACATCTGGCTGAATGTGCGATGATCATCATCAATAATAATAATAATAATAATAATAATAATAATAATAATAATAATAATAATAATAATAATTAATAATACCATCAAACATCCACATCTGCCTATCCCAGGTCCTTGGGAAGGACTCGATAGGTAGACAAAAATGCCAAATCCAGTCTGAACATCTGGCTGACTGTGCGATGATCAATAATAATAATAATAATAATAGTAGTAGTAGTAGTAGTAGTAGTAGTAGTAAAGTTGGAAGGGACCTTGCAACCCATCTCGTGGTTATCTTACAAGGAAGGTGGTGAGGGATGCTCTCTGGACTTGCTTGTTTTCTTGCAGATGTTTCATTACCCAAACCAGATAATGGTCTGTGGAGATTCTCAGTCATCGAGGTCATGGTTGTCCCAAAGGTGCTTTTTCAAAAGGCCACTGGACTTCGTTTTTCCTTGAAAACCTTTCGCTTCTCAGCCATGAAGCTTCTTCGGTTCTTCAGAGAAGCGAAACGTTTTCAAGGAAAAACCAGAATCCAGTGGCCTTTTGAAAAAGCACCTTTGGGACAAACTAGATAATGAAACATCTGCAAGAAAACAACCCGGGCCTCATGTCAACCATGAGTTACAAATATTCTCCTTTTTGGAGAGGGGGAAGAAGGTGGCACTAGACCAGTGTTTCTCAACCTTGACAATTTTAAGGCATGTGGACTTCAACTCCCAGAATTCCACAGCCAGCATTGCTGGCTGTGGAATTCTGGGAGTTGAAGTC